ACTAGGAAAGAAAACTCTTCCTTCTGTAATGTTTCTTCAACACCCTCTAGTGGCAATGCTTGACATCACATTACCTGCCAAAAGAAAAATACTTAAAGGGCCCAGATCCACTTGTTTAGAGCAGGCAATGAAGGATTAGAGTTGACAGTCAATAGATTAATAACAGACACATTCAGAAAGTATTCTGGAAATGGTTGAAAATAAAATATGGGCAAAGTTACAGGACCAGGAAAATATAAGAAGAAATGCAAGAGCAAGACAGCCTGGAATGAAAAAAAAGGCTGATTTGAGAGGTTGTTGCTGTGAAGTCATCAAGGAGAAACTCTGTGAACAGTAGATTGAAACTTGGCATTGTCTTCTCCATCTTTATAACCTCTACCTTGCTAAAGTCTGTTGTTGTAGTCATTATGTTAATCTATCCTGTTGAAGGCCTTCCTCTCTTCACTGACCCACTATTTCTCCCAGCATGATGTATTTTTCCAAGGACCAGCCCCTCCTAACTGTGTGTCCAAGGTTTGCAAGTTGAAGTTTCACCATCCTTACCTCTGAGGGGCACCCTGACTGTACTTCTTCCAAGATAGATTAGTACGGCAGTCCATGGCATATCCAGTACTCTTCCACTAACACAGTTAAAAGACACCAGATCTTCTTCTGGTAAAGAATAAGAGAGAAACATACAAAGGTACTTTCAGTCTCAATTCAGGAAAGTTTTGAGCGAGTAAAGTAAAATTGAAGGCCAGAATTCAAAGACTCCTACAGATTTGAGATGCAGTTTTATTTACATACGTAGGGGAAAGTACAGACAAAAATAGAGATTGAAATAACTTGGAATTTTTACTTATACATAGATTATTTATTTATAAAATATAAATTATCTCCTATCCTAGGGTTTAATTTTCTACAGGCACATTCTCTCCTTCTCCCTCCTCTCCTTCCCATTGCCATCAAATAGGAACAGACTTCTAGCTACCCTCTGGTGGGTTTTCTGAAGCTGTAAATCAAATGGGAGGAGATTGCCCAAAGGAGATTCTCCTTTGAAGCAGCTGGTGGATTTGAACTGCCTGCTTTAGGGTTGGCAGTGCAGTTCCTTACCCCCTACACCACCAGAGCTCCTTAAATTAATAATATTTGTAATAAATATAATACTTAATGGTAATAATTCATATAAAATATGCTGACAGAATTTGGGATGAGAGAGGATTAAATGAGAAGGGAATTACCGTACATTGAAATGAAGAAGCCAGAAGTTCACTGCCCCTCATATAGTTCTTCTGTGAGCAATATAAGCATAACCCCTACATTTAATTAGGTGGAGATTAAAAAAATAACCCACAAAACAAAGCTCATTGAGGGTTTCTTGGAACCAATTCGTAGCTGACCCTCCAGTGGATTTTCAGGAGGCTGATAGCACAGCAGGAGATTGCTGGCCTTTCTCCTTACTGGTGGCCAGTGGCTTCAAAACTGCCAGAGTTGCCACCTTCAGTTACCAGCATACCTTTCTACAAACCATGTCATTGGAGCTCTGGAGGTGGAGGTAAGGAGACTTTTTAAATGGGTAAAACAGAGAGCTGTAAGAGAACTCCAGTACTCAATTTGGACAGAAGAAGAAAGATTTCTGAAAGAGTAATGTGATTTTAAGTCATAATTATCTGTATTTTTTAACCCCCAAATATGGAACTGAAGAACAAATTCAAACCTCGAGTTGCTATAAT